CGCTGGAAGTTCTTGAATCATTGTCCGAATGGTTAATATTAATTATTACACCTTCAATTTGAATATCGATCATATTGTCCAGATCCCACATCTTTGTTTCTATTGTCTCTTGAACGTGACGGATGCAATATTTCCAATGGTTTACCGTCACTCTATTGACAGCTTCATAAAACAAATTTTTCTCATCATAAAATTTGAATGTTCTCATGTTTGAAACCACATAGTTTTTTATATTTGCCCAAATCATTTCAATGGGATTTAATTCGCAGTGATAAGGGGGTAGCCTTAAAACGGTCTTATTTTGGTTTTTAACCATTTCCTCAAAAACATTAGGTTATATTATATTCGTGCAGCCTGACTAGATGGATAAGTTCTGCTTTGACCATATTTTCATTGAAACTTATGTCTTTTGATAGGAGCCATTGTTGAATTTCTGCCTTGTAGATATTTTGTGAATTTTTTCTAGTTTTCTAGTGTGGTATGCAGCATTATCAAGTACAATGACGGCATTGTCGTCAAGCTTTGGGAGCGTTTCTTCAAACCATCGTTCAAATGAACTCCCGACCATTTCTTCATGGTAGTCGGTCGTTTTCTGTGACAGATTGTTTTTCTTTACCTGGAATAATTATTTCATATAGTATTCAAGACTACTAATAATAATACAAGCAGAGTATCTAACAGGCGTTGGTTCCAAATCTAGCAGATATAGCTAAGGTTAGTGTAGAAATTTTCAGCACTGGCTCACAGAGTCAGTCTACTTGACATCATTTTTACAACACAAATGACGAATTGGTTAGCTACACGTATCTGACGGATTCTTTAGGCCAGTGGTTAGTCCATCTAAGAAGGCTTGTTTTGCTGATTTAATTGTAGAGGCAGCCCATACTTTAGGTTTTGTATGTCCTGCATTTATCCAGGTTTGATCCAACTAATAAATCTTCCTGCCTTGGTCGCGGTATTTCTTTATTGATTTTAAATAATTTCTTCTCCATAAAATAATCTCTTATCTGTCCATCAAAATACTATTTCTGTCTTCTATACTCAAAATGAAGTTTGTTTTGTTTTTTATATTCTTTAACAATGTTGAAAATTGTCTTAGGACATACGCTTGTCTTTCAATATCGTTAAGGATAATTTCTTTTGCTTGAATATTCAAATATCCCTTCTTGTCACGTTTTCTGGGAGGAGACATCACTGAAGAGGAAACATGGCTGAAGGAAGCATTGGGAGAAATATTCTCAGTTTCATCTGCTGTATCCATATACGACATGCTAACGTATAAATATACGCTATGTATGCACCGAATATGAACAGCAACTGCCGGAGTCCGCGTGCCGGCGATTCCCCGACCCTGAGTTCTATCCTGTCGAATCCTACACTTGTTCATAGTTTCATGGCCGAATGACCAATAGGTATTGCAACGCTTAGGCGGCTGCCGCTTTGCCTCGCTGCATCTTTGTTGTGCCGGGGCATAAATGGACTACGAATAGGGTATAATAATGTCCGTGTATGGAAGAAAGAAACTAAACTTAAAGAAATTCACGCACAGTTCACGTGATCGGAAACCAGAATGCCGAGCACGTTACAGGGCCATACTGACAAATGATTTGGTTTTACGACTCAATTCAGAAGTATGCAAATTATTGCAGGCATACACATAGTCTAAACGTAAAGTTTGGAATTAATATTTTTTTAAAGTGTAAATTTCGTGGCAAAAAAACTAAAATCTCACGATTGTTGATTAAATATGAAGTAATTTATGCCAATAAAATATTCTGAGAAAAGGGGGTAAACATCCCAGGTAGATATTTGTATGGACATTTCGATATAAGTTTATTCATTGCCAATGTGGCAAATTATATTATAATTTGCTTTCCTAAGAACAATGTTTTCTTTTAAACACATAAACCATTGCCAATTAAGTCATTATTACCACGTTATATAAAAAGTCCAACAAAATGATACATTACTTGATTTCTTACCTCGACACATTTTAGGCAGAATAACAACATGAATGCACAAAAACAAATATAAAAGGTAACTTCAGTTAAAATTCCTTGACTTACAAGTATATTGGAACATATGTAGGTGTCAGAACAATCATACTAAAATACCTAGTACTTTTAAAATACTACCTCAGAGGTTTTTCAATCCTGGAAATCTTGCCTTGAGGGATTTATAGAAGAATCCATTCAAACCTTCACCTGTATATGCCCAACGTTGACCGACGTTTCATCTAGGATGAATATTTTTCTACCTGCTGTACGAAATTTCTTGATTTTTCTTAGATATTCTCTTCTCCAGACAACTATTTTGCCTTTTTTTAATAAGAACCTGTTTGTTCCCAGTTTTTTGCACTGAAATTCCATTTCTTTTAGTAACTTACGGAAGATGGATCTTTTGAAACTTATGGCGGTTCTATCGAAGTCATATATCCCATCGTTTATTATTTTACTTGGCGGTAACTTTTTTGGGTTGGTCAGTGAATGATTAGCTCTATACTCACGAACAATTCGGTAAAAAGTTGAACGACTGACGCCCGAAACACTTGCTACTTTGAAAACACTTTCCTCAGCACTTAAATCATTCCCTCCGTGCATTTCGTGTTTAAAAATGTTGAGAATAATTTGTTTTTGGCTGATGCTAAAATGAATCATTTTAGCTCTTTTTTAGGCTTCATCAGCTGTATCCGTATCAGATATTTTGAGCGCCACGAAATTAAACAGCCGAAAATCACCTCACAGCAATAGCAGCAAAAATGTGATGCCAACCCTGTACTGTATATTTTGTAACCTTTACTTTGGAAACAACATCATTTTATTTTATTTGTGTTATCCACCTGTAATGCATCTTGGACATGAAGCACCTATATATTTTCACTTAAGGACTATTGTGCATTGCTTTGCTGTTTGAAGCTGGTGTCTGCTGAACAGTTCAATCAGATTGTCTCATACCTACATCAAAATTATAGCAAAACACTCGTTGAGTCGCTCCTCTATAACTGATTAACGCAATGGAAACACTCATTAAAAACTTCTTAAACCGGTCTCACACGATGTAGGAGAGCGCTGACGGCTTCATGTGTCCAACGTTCGCCACATGGCACGTTCGGTAAATTTGATCCGCGTCAAAGGACGTTACAACGTTGGAAGCATGGTTCGTTACGCTCCCACACGAGATGTTATGTGTTTAATGGTTTTAGGTTAGAACCAGTAGCGGCGAAAAACATTATTTACTTGTTTGCTGTGATTGTGGTGAAGTAGAGGTATGTGAGAAACATTTTGATTTGAATACATACCTATTCATAATAGTGTATGTTCCGTCACTAACTTTCGAGCAGAATGAATTAAATTAGTATACGTACAAGCATAGGCTGCCATAATAACACTTTTTTCATATTGCTAATGTTTTGTACGTTTCGCAGGTGAGTTATGGCTGGCCTAAGGATATGTATTTTAGTAAATCATCAAGTGCTTACAGTTGTTTCATTATAATGTCCTGGAGCAATGCAAGACCAGTTGAAAAATATATTGACTTCCATTTCATAACTAACGAAAAAGATTAAATAAATGATAACTCAGAAAGTACTATCAGGATTTTGAGGAAATTTTGACTCTAGGTTACTACTATGGAAATGACGAAAAAGCTCTGCAGCTGTTGAAAATCGGTACAGTGGCGGCGGAGTTTTGATCGAAAAACAAACAAAAAACGGCCAAACTTCGTTTTTAGACATTTCTGAGGCTTCTGACAGACTTAAGTTTTGGCCGCTGAAGATAAAAAATGGTTTCATCGTTCATCTTGTATAATTTTTCCTTCAGTTGTAAAGGTTCAAGCGCGACACTGACGCCGATAATAGATGTTGGCGCCACCGTGCGTCGAATGTCCGAGACCAAAAAGTTCATCCCATCGTGTAGGAGACACACTTGCCAATTGTGGGGTGTCGAACGTTGTAAACAACGTTGGAAGTATCGTGTGGGACCGGCATTACTAGCATCAAGCTATCCAGCTATGTGATAATGGCAGTCGAGAACATCTCACTGTAATTACTATCGTATCGGTAGCTTATATTTGTAAGCATCACTCTATATTTTTCGACAGCTCGGTGTCCGACATATGTTTGAAAGATGACTGGTGTTGAATCAAATTCAAGCGGATAACCAAATGGAAATGGTATTTACCATTTTGGGTTGGTATTTACCAATCCGTTCAAGCGAGTGTAGTTATCAGTTTGGTTATAAGATCCGTGACGTCACGAATCAGCTGTTATATGTCATAGTTATCACCGCAAAATTGTGGTATTTACCCAACTCAAGAGTAGTTTTATATTTCTGGTTATTATTTGAAATGTGACAAGTTAGAATTTTGCCGGGTATTGGATATTGTTATTGTACTTCAGCTTCATTTTTGAGAAAAACGATACAGGCTGACTTCAGTTTTACCATAAAGTGGAGCACCTTATTAGTTATACTCATTACGGTTGTTGGGGATACTTTAAATGTAGTTCCTATGCTTAACAAAGTATCCTGTGTAGCCATATACCACAAGAATATTAAAATATGGCCATATAAACTCACTAGATGATATCCACCTGTATACGGTTTTGCTAATTTCTTTTTTCATAATTTCTGCTGAATCAATAAATGTTTTCTTTGACATGTGGAAAAATTTAGAGAATTGAAAGTTATCATAGCTACAAAGCCATGGTTAGATCATTAAAAAAAATCTGAAAAAAACATTTCTCCATGAATATTATGAAAGGTTTCTTATTTAAACTTTCCATATACAGTTGTAGACGAAAAAGCACCGATTATTAAGTGATAATAAAAATAATCAGAGATTATATACGCGCTTTTCTAAAATAAACAACTTGCAACAAAACCGCGGTTAAAACCAACGCGTTCAAGCGATTCGTGTAACTGACGTCATCAACCCGTGTGTCATCTTGAACCATATTATAACCGCGGCACATAACACAGAAATTTTGGTTATTCGCTTGGATTTGATTTTGGTGTCACTGATGCCTTATTTTGAAGTTTGACTTTAGTTTTATAGTGTATATATGTTTTGTGGCTTTAAATAAACAATATTGTGTACGAAGCAGAGGTAAACAAGTAAAATAAAGTTTTAAAATGCCCAAACCTAACACCAATAACTTGTTAGAAAAATGTCGTGTATGCCTTACAAAAGGGGAAGTTATGTTTCCACTTTTTCTAATATCACATAAAGATAAATCCATTGCAGACTTGATTTATCATCTAGCCTGCATAGAGGTAAGTCGCATGAGCATTTCTTTCTGAATGTGTTTTATTACTAACTAGAAGGCTATACGTATGCGTTCACATTTCAGATAACCTGGAGTGCTGATCTACCAGAAAACGTTTGTGAAAAATGTAAAACAACTGTAATAGAATTTGATACGCTGATATTGAGTCTCAGAAGAAACACAGATTATCTACAACATATCTTGAACAGGTGTAAAGCAACATCCACAAGTGCTAGCCAGGAAGATATGCTTTTGAGGAAAGAGCCTGTATCTGAAGATATTTCAGTTAATACTGTAAAACCTAAAAAACATACTACCTCAGTTGTAGAGTGTGGGGAATATCATGAACCTTGGACTAAAAATGTTATTATAGAACAGAACCAATATCAAGATAATGATGTATATTCTAGTGATGAACCTGACTGTGATTATGAAGATAGTATAGGTTTCCCAGAGGATTCTAAAAGCAATAATTTAAAGAAGTATAAGTGTAAATATTGTGAAGATTCCTATGATGATAAGGCATCCCTCAAAAACCATACTGAGATCCACAGAACATTTGTTTGTGATCAATGTGGAAAATCCTTTTTCAGGAAAGATTATCTTCTTGACCACAAGTTTACACATACATCCGAAAAACGATTTTCCTGTAAGAAGTGTGGAAAGCAGTTCAAGTATAGGAGTGGCCTACGAGTGCATGAAACAGTCCATGTAAACTATAGAGGATTTGTTTGTGATGTTTGTGCTGCAAGTTTTAACACAAAGACTACCCTCAATACCCATATCCTTCTCAAACACAAAAATGAAAAGAAATTTGAATGTGCAGAGTGTCACTTATCTTTTAAGTTGAATTCATGGTTAAGGAAACATTTTATGAGGAAACATAGTGGCAGTAGGACCAAAGACTTTGTATGTTCATTTTGTGGAGTGTCGTACTTGAACAAGACTACTTTGACAAGGCATGTTGAGGAAAAACATAGTGGGCCACAGAGAAGATACCCTTGTACTGCATGTGATAAAACCTATGCATCAACTACGAAGTTGAATCTTCATATGAAGAAAATTCATTTTATTGAACAGTAACATTAAATGAAGAAAATATACTTGCTTTGGGTTAGTTGTGGAGATAGCAAACCAATAGTTGCTTTGAATACTCTACATACGTAGTAACAAAATGTTTACAAAATCTTCAAAAAGTTCAACTAAGCAAGTATGAAAAAGCATTGTAGTTTTTGAAGTGGCGGCGGAGCTAGGGGTAAAAACACGAAAAAGACAAAAATCACTTAAGCTTCGTTTTTTTTTGTTTTAGAGGCTCGTGATCATTTTCAGAAAATTTTTTTTAAGAGGTTGAAAATTGAGGGTTTCTAAGGGATGGGGGAGGGTATGTCTTAATTTTTTGATGTTGGTATATTTATACCCTCCCAACTCCGGTAATTCTACGCACCTATTTGCAATGTTTCAGACATATCATATATTTCCCCATACATTTGCCTTTACTTTAAAACTCAGAATATAGTGGAATTTTTTTCGATTCGCGTGCTGCTTCTGCTCTCTGTGTTCACTGGCGGGTGTACCGATCTGGTTCACTTTTCTGCCCATAGTGTACTGTTGTCAGATGGGCGGTAACTGCCGGTAGGGCAGGGAAAGAATGTCTATCGATTAATTATATGGGCCTGTTTGACTGACTTGACCCGTTTAGTTTCCCTAATGTACATGTTCGTAAGTAATTTTTTCTTAAGAGGGTTTAGCCTGCGCCTTTTTGGTCTGGTTAAACATGTTTATTTTCCATGAAATATGTTTTATAATCAAAATTATGATAAAATGGAGTTTTGATTTTAAAAACTCATAAACCTCAAGGAATTTCATGCAGGTTTTGTTTTTTTGTTACTTTATACCTTTAGTATATGAAAAATTCATTGGTTTGCAGGTTGTGCACCTGACCTTGGCCTATACATAAATATGCACAATGGATGTGAGTTGCAACCTTAATTCATAAAAGGTTTTTTCTGTTTTTATAAACTAGGAATAAATACAAATAAAACCTTGTATCTTCTCAAAATATGTACCTGTATGTTATCTTTCAATTTGAGCTTGATATAATTCGACAGTTTTTCGCTCTTGACCTTGAAATGACTTTCAAATGACTTCATACGCGAATATGATTCAAATCCTTTAGGTACCCATTAAAAGTATAAATTTTTCCATTAATGGTCAAATTTCTATATGAAAATATTTTTTTAACTGATTTGAGATTGATAAATAAAACTCTTCGAGTTCAAATTATTTTATTTATAATCACATGTTAAGTTTAAGTAACCTTACCTGTGAAGAAGTATACAAATATATAATTTGATCAGTTTAATTTTTACAATATTATATGGAATGCTTTGATACAGATATTTAAAATAAACCTTGAATAACAGTGTGACACTCAGATGTGAAATAGGTACATCAGTAATTAACCTACTTTTTGATTGTTTGAGATGAAAACTTTCATTATGTAATTCGCATAATCACAATAGAGGCACTACTTTTTGTAAGATCACATGAAATGCTAATTGTGAATCTTTAAAATAAATAATGGGTGATTCATTTAGATGTACTTTTTTGAAAAGAAAAAGTATTAAAACAATTAATTTAAGGGGGCTTATAAATTATAAATAAACAGTCTGAGGTTAGAAAAAAATGGAAAGTCACCTTTTTTGGGGTGACACCCACCCGGTGACTCAACTTTGACAATGTACACACATAAAAAAAAATCGCTAGCACAGGCGTCATCTATGCCGATTCCTCCACACAAGCACTAGCTCAGCTCTATGTATAATTTGGGGATTCTCCCAAAAGCGTATTACGCTGCCGTGTGGGATTCCCCGTCCCATAGTCGCGATCCTTGAAGTCTCAGTTACATCATTTCTCATTTGTTTCGTGATGTGTGTTGTGTTTGGTTGGCGTGATGTGTTAAACGTGTAGTGTTAAAAAAAAAGATACTTTTGGAGATACCAAGACAGCGAAGACACTTAAAAACAGCTAATGTTACAGTTTCTGATCGGGTATCTCTCGATTTTTTAAAGTTTATTGTAGAATGGGATTTTACAGAATCTGTTACAAACCTTATGATTGCACTAAATTTTTTCATGGCGGTTTGCATGTCCGTAGCTTTATGTGAAAGTAATTTCAGTAAACTAAATTAATAAAAAACTACTTATTTGCGGGGAGCAATGACATAATCGCGGCTTAGCAATCTTGGTATATTAGCCACGAGGCAATACAAAATATAAATTTTGATGAAGTTATTTCTGAGTTTGCAGCTGTCAAAGCTAGAAAGAAGAGATTTTAATTGTTAGTTTAATATATTTTTTCTGTCTTAGTTTTACATTAAATGATCCATGACGTTTATAAATCATATAAAATTTATTGCTTTTGACTTTCGATGGGGTGACACCACCAACTTCCGCACGGGGTGAAACCCAAAGTAGCTAGGCCACTGGTGACAATCTAGAAATTTTGAGAATAATTTCTGTTTTCATAAAAGTTATATATATATATATATATATATATATATATATATATATATATACAAAGCATAAACAAAAGTGAAAATTCATTTACAGAAATATATTTGTATCTATTGAGAGTAAAATTACTCTGTATAACCTCCTTCAGCCCTAGTGACCGCCTCGATCCTTGTCCTAAAACGGTCGCATGCTCTCTTTAAAACACGGTCCATATTGGTAAATGCTGCTTCGAAAGCGGAGCGTAGAGATACGACATTAGGGTGCCTGGACTTGTTAGTAACCATTTCGACTACGCTCCAAACATAATAGTCCAGAGGGTTCAAATCCGGCCTATTCCGTTATCCGATGGCCAGTTTGCACTAAATGGCTCGTTTGGGCCGGTGCACCGTCCTGCTGAAAGGCATATTGTCTCCCCGCGGCCACAGTTACCATCTACGGTTCCACGACATTTGTCAAAACTTGCACATAAACTTCTTTATTGACAGTTTGTCCGTTTTCGAAGAAATGTGGCGGCATGACATCACCTTCACTGGACAGAACACCTAGGACGTGAACACTAGCCGGAAATTTTGTTCGAGGTCGTGGCGAGCCAGCGATCATTTTTTCGGTTGACCTTTGCGTCAACAGTAAAAATTTTTTCATCACAAAAAATCTGATTCGCCCTGCCACCTCATTTTTTAATTAACTCAAGAGCAGATTGCAGCGAGCAAGCCGTTTTGTTCTGGTAGCTTCATACAGCATCTGTCGCAACTTTATTGTGTACGACTTGTAACGTAGGTCCTCTGCAATCCGACGCATGGTTCGCTCGCTGACACCCAATACTGGCGCCAATTTCCGCAACGATTGCACCGGGTCCTCCGAAATCAGCGCCTGAGCCTTTTCCACGACTGCCGGAGTTCGTGACCTTCGTTCCCTCGAATGAGTTTTCCTCGCTGGGTTAGAGGAGCTTTCCCGAGACTCCTCAGAAGCATTGTACTTGGATACAATATCATATACCGTTGATATCGGGTACCGGAAGAATCGAATTATTTCGGTTGGCGAACGCCCAGCGCGAATACTTTCGATAATCGCGTCTCTTCTGTTGTACTCCGCACTTGTACGTAACATCCCGGCGATGTTTAGGTTATGACGTTTTACTAGATGGCCATGGCTGTTAAGAACGTCAATAGCGATCTCTGGCGGAATTACTAGGTGGCGGGAAATTCAATACACTGCCACGACGGAAAGCGCCCTTTATTTATAACTTTATGAAAACAAAAGTTATTCTCAAAACCTCTATTTCATCTCATAGCTATTTAACTTAAAGGACGAATACTACACGATTTCGTTTAGTAACAAAAGAGAAAGGTGTACTCGAAGTTCAATTTTCCTGATAAAAGTTCTCATGGGACCGAAGCAATGGGATGATTAGTTTCTGAGAAATAGGGGGGCGACATTTGCCGACTTGCAGAAATGGTGAATAATGTGCACATAAAATCGGTTTTTTAATTCCTAAAGAAAACCATCCAAATGCAGCATGTAGCGAATCTGGGAGAACTTTATAAGATAGCTAATGCTCTTATTAATAGATACTGTAACTCCTTCGTAACTGGGACCTCGAGTAACGATGAGATGCCCTCGCAATATCAGCGCTTAGGCAATCAGAGTTTCGCTACCGAACATCAAGAGCGGTAGAGTTTGCGGCAAGATGTGGCGACATCGGGAGCCTTTGAGAAGGATTGATCGACATTGTATAGAACCTCGGTAAAGCGCAGGAATGCTCTGGAACTCGTCAATTTCAAATAAATACCCAGGCGGCCTCTACCAGAGGGACAATCAGTGGACAGACAGCGGGTGATGAGTCAGCAGCACAGACTAGTCGACATAGTCATAAATTTGTCGTAAATTAGTTACAAGGGTTGTTATAAATTAGTGTGGAAGTAATAAATTGGACCTAAAACCACTAAACAGTAAAACGGTGTTTTCCTTACAGTACCATCCTCCGACTATTATTTATGGGAGGAGCTAATGCTGCATTAGTGCTTCAGCTGTTAGTCTGGTGGTAGGTGATGTAGTAGGTACCCTCCACAAGGAATTTAATCACGTTTTGAAAATCCAATAATGTATCGACTATGTATATCTTATTGAAAGTTTTATGAAAATAACGAGGTTTTACTTGATTATGCAATAATTAATGGGCATCATTGAATATGTAAATCTGGCGCGTCAATCCTAGGCACGTGTGGTCTTTTAAATGCTCTCCACGAGATTGCTATCAGTCGAAAAAGTCGACCCAAACCGTCCGATATGCCGGAAGCAGACCAAGGCAAAACGCTCATATTAATAGTCAATAAATTGCTAGCTAAAGGGCCCCTCACAACAAAAAGAAATACCATCCATGTCTCTTTTGTTAGATGACAAAGACAACCATACAGTCGATGGCTTTTTAATTTGTATGCTCTAAATGAATCATTCATTATAAAAAACGTAGAATAAAATATCACGTGATGGATTTTGATATAAAATTCATCATGTTAAAGTTTATAAGATCTGTGGTTGTATAGCACGAAGTTTGAGATACATTTAAAAGTTTTTGAAAAACAGCAGCTTTGATAGTTCTTGAAGCTATACGACAATACATTAAATAGTGAAGATGAATACGTAACTGACAGAATGTTTGGACTTATCACTAATTATATTATAGTTATTTTAACAATATTCCGTAACTGTTAACAACATCACAAAAGCTAATAATAAAAATAGATCTAACGTTCTTATACATATATACAGACAGTTTAATTGACAGGTTCAATTAATTATAGTAAACAATAATAAATTCCGACTAGATATTCATACAATCTTTCCTTGAGATATGTAACAATATTTACACACTGTCAAGCGGACGCATTTTGCTTATATTTTATGTACATATCACACTCAAACTTGCAAGTTTTGTAAGAAGCTTATATCACTATAAACCCCACAGGTAGTTTGATATGCTTCTAACCAAGATATGAGAAAAATCGACATAATTATGACACGCGTTCGAAGTTTTTATTCAATTTCTAAGTTGCTGCACTGATGGAGTGCGACATAGATTAGGGGATATATTAATAGTATTTCATGCACTAGGGCGCTAAGCGGGCGGTTATGATCCGCGTCGTCCGCGTGAAATAAGAACCCAAGGCGCGTGGAGTCGCCAAAGTTGACGTTTTCCAAATTTGGTCGATAAGTGCACTACTGTGTCTTCATTTTAGCAGAAAATGTTCACGTTCATACACAAATTGCCGCTAAATCTTTTTTGCTGCACAGCCTTATGAATTCTAATAGGATATTAAAGGAAAGTGCCTAAAACTGGAACCCCACCTTGTTAATGGTAAAAAAATGAAAAACCAAACAAAATCACTACCTTTCAAAATGGCGGACTGGTAGGTGGTCAAAGTTGAGTGTCTTTCTACATTGAATCACTTATAGCGTATAACTTTACAACTAATCACTAAAACGTTATAGTATATAGTGTCGTTTCTCTTCTAAAAATTAAAAGGAAGGAAAGGGAATGATCTATAAGAATGTGATATAAAATTTGGGACATACTGTTTAAACAAAATTTCCAACCGCTTTCTAGTTGCACCACAAGTGAACGCCGCAAGATGGGGCATCAAGCAGCTTGACAGATCAAAGGAACAGTGGCTTCTTCCTCTCAAGTTGTTGTTTACTAAACATACTCGTTATTGCGGATGCGCTCATTCGAAAAATCGTCTTCAGGTTACTGTCCTTGCACGGTGGTACCGTGGCGTGTGCCCAAGAGGCGGCAAGGTGCAACTAGAAGAGAGTTTCAGAAAATGCAGAGCCAGTGAGACCAGGCGCCCGCTAGGGAAGGGGCGACCGGTTTAGGACACTTTCCTTTTTGACTGAAATGGGCATGTTTGCTTTCCGTCTCTGTAACCATGACCAACCGCGAAGACAGCGCTGTTTCGTGCTTATTAGTATCTCATCAGTGCGATATAGATCTTAGGTCTAGTCCTGGACACAGACGAAACGGAAATCAAACAGTTGGTTATGATCTTTTGAAAAACTCCAAGTATTGTGCGTAGGTAGGCAAACCATCGGTAGGTGGTGATCATCAGATTTTCACTACACTTGCGCACTTTCCTTTATGCTTTTTTCCATCGTTTTAACCAGTCTCTCTTGCGCACTATTCGACGTTGCCCCGCCTAAACTTCAATAACGAATTCTGCGTTTTGGCACCACTTCCGAGTGGTTCGAAAATCCTCTTGTCTCCCTGGTCCCAGAGGAATGGACAGTCTTCTCCTTTTTCCTCAAGATCGACCAGACACGAGTCTACTTGATGGTTATGTGACGTCATCATGTTGGAGAAATAGTTGCGACATCTGTTGGAGTAGTCGGGGATGCTGTGACTTTTCTTTAAGTGGATAGAGCTTAGAGTCTTTTCGGGGTCTAGACCAAGGATTTCTAGCACAACCTAAAATGGGGAAATCAAAGATTTTATAAAAAACCGGCATACGCGGTCAAAGTGGTTATTACATGTTAATTAAAAAAAAACAGCACTGTATTAATTGTGAAAAATACTAGACGATATTACTAGACTAGACGCTGACAATCTCAATTTAACAAAATGGTGGAAATTGTACGTATTCACCTTGACTTGGTTTGCAAGCTCAAGTCAAGTATTAGGTATTAGCAGTGAAAACCAAGTCAGGTACTTGAAAATTCAAGTAGTCTTGATATTACTTGATAATTTTTGTAATATAAATATGAGTAGAATAGTATAATTACACAACGGAAAGACTTAATTTATATATAGGTTATACATATATACATATATATATATATATATATAAACAATAAATACGAAAATAATGGGCAAAATCCGCAAAAAGAAGGAAAGTGGATTCGAGCAGAAAATAGTTTAGGTAACCCGAGCGATACGTATTTCTGCTGGTTGGCTTCATCAGGCCCGAAATGAATGCACATATTATGTAACTACAAAAGTAGATACACATGCCCATACATCCGGATACGGGTGTAACCTGAGGAAAGAAAGATGGAGAGCAAAAAAAAATCACACATGAAGTCCACAACAAGAGCCAACCTACACATTGTAGTATAAAATGGCTAGAAGACCTCGAATTTTCAAGGCGACATCTAACCTCAACCACGCGGCTGGTTATAGCTACTTGCTGTTGTACTTCAAGGCCAAAGGATTTACAAAGAGAAACTGATCATGCGGAGAAAGGTAAATAACAAAAAACACGAAAATAATGGGCAAAATCCGCAAAAAGAAGGAAAGTGGATTCGAGCAGAAAATAAGATAGGTAATCCGAGCAATACGTATGTTGGCTGCATCAGGCCCAAAATGAATGCACGTATGCAATTACAAAAGCCATACATCCGGATTTTTTGTTATATACCTTTCTCCGCATGATCATTTCCTCTTTGTAGATCCTTTGGGCTGCAAGTACCACAGCAAGTGGGTATAACCGGCCGCGTGGTTGTGATTAGATCTCTAGCCATTTTATACTACAATGTGTAGGTTGGCTCTTGTTGTGGACTTCGTGTGTACCTTTTTTCCATCTCCATCTTTCTTTCCTCAGGTTACACCCGTATCCAGATGTATGAGCATGTGTATCTACTTTTGAAGTTGCATATGTGCATTCATTTCGGGCCTGATGAAGCCAACCAGCGGAAATACGTATTGCTCGGGTTACCTACCCTATTTTCTGCTCGAATCCACTTTCCTTCTTTTTACGGATTTTGCCCATTATTTTCCTATTTTTTGTTATATACCTTTCTCCGCATGATCATTTTCTCTCTCTCTCTCTCTCTCTATATATATATACAATGTGTTTGGTCCCGACATACCGATATGGGGTATTTTCAGCTATTTTTATCGACAAATCCACCCCCCTACAATTCCTACCCCATCCCCCTGAAATGGCAGCCATTTTTATTTTTATGTAAACAGAAAAAAATGTGGAAGAAAATTGATTATTTTGTGCATTTCCGCACACCATTCAAAAACCAGCCTGCGAAGTTGTACCTTTTTTGTGCTAATTCTACAGCTTTTTGTTATCCTATGTATTCTACGTTAAGCAATAGATGCTATCTAACATGGGTCAAAATGGGTGTAATAAAATGCAAATTGTTTTCAAACTTCATATGCATAGAAATGACAAATCAATGTTTCTTATAGAGAGTTTGGACATGTTTAATGTTACAGAAGTTGTTGAAAATGTCATCCATTATTGGTTATGCACACTGTTGTTCTTGAAACAATGTGTCCTGTTGACCGGCAGACCATATCCGTGTCAGCCCTAATTTCGTTCGCAGCGGTATGGATCCATTTCAAGGGGAGTGAGGTATGACATTGTAGGGGGTGGATTTGTCGATAAAAATAGCTGAAAAATATCCCCCTCAAATATCGGTATGTCGTGACCAAACACATTGTATACATATATATATATATATATATATATATATATATATATATATATATATATATATATATATATATATATATATATACATATAATTACAGAGAAAGCACACAAATTGACAAAAATACATCATCCAGCTGTAAATTCAAATAGAAAAAAAACATGTCTTCATCAGCTGATACAAAATAATAAAAAAATCCGAATTAGCTTTTCATTAGCTAACCACGAGTTAAGAAACATGAGGGTCCTAATGGATTTATGACCAGTACAGCTCTAGAACATTCCCTCTCAATGGACGCTGATGTTACAGGTGTCGATCAGAAATTAAAACTAGATTTGGGAAGACATTTTTATGCCTTTTCCACCACTCCAGATTATTTGCATTAAAATACAAAATACGGTCCATCGGTTGTATAAATAATGAAACTGAAGGCCTTTGTAGAACAAAAATATAATTTGCCACCATGTATCAAGTAGTTTGGAAATGCTTGACCTCAACTCAAGTAGAACAATAAAAAAATGAATTCAAGTCAAGCATTAACGTTTC